CTGGGCACACACTAGAGCAGATTCTGTTGTCTGGGTTGCTGGTGAGCCAGTCCTGAGGGCAGGAGAGCAGGAGAGCTGACTCCCCCCCCCCCCCCCCCCCGCCCCACATCTTACCCCTTACAGCAGTCAGGAGAGAGGGCCCTGTACCTTGCCTGGGCAAAATAGTAGAGCTAAGCCTGGAAAATATGAGTTGGGGTTCTGGATCTGAGGACCCCCAAGAGCAGAAGAACTGGCCCCACTCCATGCTGTAGGCTGCGTGAGGTGAGCAGGCTGAGAGGGGAAGTCAGTGAGATGAGAAATGCAGAGCCACCCAGGCCCAGAGCCAGGGCTGTGTTGGGCTAACCACCCCAACATCTACCAAATCTATGAGCTCTTGGAGCAGAGAAAGAGGACAAACCGACAGATCCAAACCAACAGGATCTCCATGAAACAAGACAAGATATCTAGAGTTCATAATCGGCGGTGTAGCAGAAACCAGAGGCCTCCATCCGAACCACGAACCAGGCAATGAAAGATGAACAGACTAAAGGGTAAATTGCATCTCAATGGACCACGCCACAGCTTCCATGACAAGATTCTTCTTTTTTTGTTTTTTGTTTGTTTGGTTTTTGGTTTTCCTTTTTAATTTGGTTTTGGAGGGAGGTTGCAAGGGCAGAGAATAGATACTAAGGGAAAGGAGGTGAGAAAAGAATGCATGCTGTGAAATCCACAAAGAATCAATAAAAGTAAAAAAAATAATTTTCATGTCATTTACTAGACATTTTGTTTGATTTAATTCATGTAATTAATAACTTATGGATTATTGAAATCAAAATCACCCAGCTACATTCCAAATGCTTTATTTACTGCTCAAAGAAATGTGAGCTCAGACATGGAGCTGGTTTGTAAACAGCTACTTCTCCAGAGAACTTCCTCCTCCAGAGGTTCCTTTATAGTAGGTTAGAGGGAAAAAATCTCTTAGTAACTATTTGTTTTTTAATGTTTATTTATGTATTTTTTAAATTTATTTTTTATTGAAAAGAAAATTTCCGCCTCCTCCCAGCCTCCCATTTCCCTCCCCCTCCTCCCACTCCTCTCCCCCTCTCTCTCCAGTCCAAAAGCAGTCAGGGTTCCCTGCCCTGTGGAAAGTCCAAGGTCCTCCCCCCTCCATCCGGGTCTAGGAAGGTGAACATCCAAACTGGCTAGGCTCCCACAAAGCCAGAACATGAAGTAGGATCAAAACCCCGTGCCATTGTCCTTGGCTTCTCAACAGCCCTCATTGTCCGCCATGTTTAGAGAGTCCGGTTTTATCCCATGCTTTTTCAGTCATAGTTCAGCTGTCCTTGGTGAGCTCCCAATAGATCAGCCCCACTGTCTCAGTGGGTGGGTGCACCCCTCGTGGTCCTGACTTCCTTGCTCATGTTCTCCCTCCTTCTGCTCCTCATTGGGACCTTGGGAGCTCAGTCCAGTGCTCCAGTGTGGGTCTCTGTCTCTATCTCCATCCATCACCAGATGAAGGTTCTATGGTGATATGCAAGATATTCATCAGTATGGCTATAGGATAGGGTCATTTCAGGCTCCCTATCCTCAGCTGCCCAAGGAACTAACTGGGGGCATCGTCCTTGCTGGAGAGGTTGTGAAGGAAGGGGTACCCTCATCCATTGCTGGTGGGAATGAAAACTTGTGCAACCACTTTGGAAATCAGTGTGGCGGTTTCTCAGGAAATTCGGGATCAACCTACCCCTGAACCCAGCAATACCACTCTTGGGAATATACCCAAGAGATGCCCTATCATACAACGAAAGTATTTGTTCAACTATGTTCATAGCAGCATTATTTGTAATAGCCAGAACCTTGAAACAGCCTAGTTGTCCTTCAATGGAAGAATGGATGAAGAAAGTGTGGAATATATACACATTAGAGTACTACTCAGCGGTAAAAAACAATGACTTAGTAACTATTTGTACACTTTGAGCTGTCCATCGTCCAGAAAACATGACCAGTGTGAACTTGGGAGCATGCTTCCTCCCTCATATAAGAAGTGGAGGGAATCGAATCTTCCAAACAGATGTCTGTTCTTCTGAGGAAAAGCCCATTTGATCTGAGGAGAAAACTCTATTAGGAAGCAGAAATCCACGGAAAACATGCCAGAGCGAAGCTGGTACTTCTTTGACGGCAATTACCAAAAAGGGGCGATCTTTATCTCTGTAGGCCAGCACTGCTCAGTTTCCTTTCCTCATTTCTCCTCTCTCTCTCTCTCTCTCTCTCTCTCTCTCTCTCTCTCAGCCATAAACATCATTAGGTCATTAAAAGAATACTCTCAGTTCCAAAAATGTGAGAAAATTCTCTCGCACAAGAACTTTTTACAAACCTCGAGTTGCTTCGTTTTTGGTTTCACTTGTGGTTATGCATTTTCAGGAAAAAAAAATTATCACCGGAAATCCAGACGTAAGAGATAGCAGTTGTCTACTAAACAGAGTTGGTTAATGAGGAGCACACACTGGGGCTTTCCACATCAGGGAGCAGGAAACCAGGGCTATGAGGTGGAAAAATGGGGTCTGGAAAGCAGGGAGGTACTGGGAGTGTATCAGAAAAAAAGCTGTGTGCACACGTATGTGTAATATTATATATAGTATGTGCTGCTGTTAAACAGTGCATCATGTATAATACATGTGCTTATATATACGGCCACTTTCAGTGTTGGTCTAGGACACTGATCCCTATATAAAGTAATTATAAGCCATCAGTTCCTTATTGAGTATTGATTTCGGTGATTGATCTTCAGTTTCAGTGTGTCTCATTATAGAGATGTTTAGACTGTTTTAAGAGACAGCAGAGGCTTTCAGTGCTTCAACTGTCTATACTTTTCCATTAACTCTTCGGTCCTTAAGATGTTCATTTGATGGTATAAGTCTCTGTATCTGCTTGCTTTCTCTTTTCTACTCTCCTAGAAAGAAGATGCTGATGTTGTTTTGTGGCAATGAACCAAAAAAAAATATGATGATGTCGTTGGAAATGAAAGCTGAAGAATGGAGCTGGCAAATCATCCGAGTATGGCAGGAGTAGCAGCAACATTAGCTACTAATTTAAGTAGGAAAGATCTATGTTTTTAAATACAATAATTTTGTTATGAAAGTTTCTATATGTCCAAAGGATCTTCGGGTGCAATGCAGTCTGTCTTAGTTGGGGTGTCTATTGCTGTGAAGAGACAACATGACCACACCAACTCTGATAAAGGAAAACAGTTAATTAGGAGTGGCTTAATGTTTCAGAGGTGTAGTCCATTAGCCTCCTGGTGGGAAACATGGCAGCATGCAGGCAGACACGCTACTAGTGAATGAGCAAGAGTTCTACACATTGTTCCGGAGGCAGCAGAAGGGGTCTACCACACTAGACCTAGCCTAAGCATATAAGACCTCAAAGTCGAACCCACAGTGACACACTTCCAACAAGAAGGCCATGCCAACTCCAACAAGGCTGCTCCTCCTAATACGGCCACTCCTCATTCAAACACATGAGTCTACGGGGCCATTCCTATCTAAACCACCACTCAATCCAAATAAAAACAGAAATTTTATTTCTCTCAGAAGTTACCAAATTTTATTTCTCCCATGAAGATACCAAAGACTAAAAGGAGTGTTGTTTTGATACTGTCACCATACCTGATTTCAGATTACAGCTATATGTCTAAGAGAGTGTTACTGCGGGATTACTACTCCTACCACAGGAGCCTCCTACAGCAGATGGCAATGAACGCAGAAACCAACAAGTGGTCATGGAGCAGAAAATAAAGGGCTGACTTCCAGGCCCCGAGGACCATTGCAGAAAAGGGAGCAGAAGGATTGCAAGATCCAGAGGCCATGCATGACGACAGCAAAGCAGTGCTCTTGGACCAGCACGGGAGCTGCACAGATGAACTGAGAGTGGCTGAGACTGAATGAACAAGACCAAGCCAGACAGCATCCCAGCTTGGAACACACAGGAAATCCCACTTGTGGCTGAGGAACCATGGCAACTGGCGGCTGCTGAGAGAGAGAGATTCATTGTCCTCAGGGGTGGGGCCTCGAAGGTTCCAGGAGATGCCCGTGCACAACTGGAAGCACTAAGACAGGGTAGAAGGATGAAAAGTAGGAGGAGGAGAAAGAGGAGAAAAACCCATGAAATGGAAAGGGAGGATTAATTTCAGAGGCATTTCACTTCCGTGGTGGGATTTATTGCAGGCATATTTTTGAGACTATTATGAATGGAGTTGATTTACTGACTTCTTCTTGGTATGTTTGCTGTGGTATTCAGGCAGGTTGATGATTTTTCTGTGATCTACTTTATATCACTGCGCATGATCTCACTCTTATTTAGAACCCAAAACTGCCAAACTCACAGAAGTTGAGAGTGGATGAAAGGCCCCAGAGGTCAGGGAGGTCAGAGGGAGGATTACTCTGGTGAACACGACATCAAAGAGGACCAAGTCACAATGTCACAGGAACAGATTCTGGACAGCATGCTGACTGTCCCCACAGAGAATACTACATCCTGGAGAGAATTAGAGGGACAGATGCAGGGTTTGTCTAAGCACTATGCCATTGCACACATGTATCCTGCTCAATTTTTTGACATTTTGTTCATTTGTATAATTTGTATGGTGTAGAGTACCCACTTAAAAATACTGGGAAAATTGGAAAATTACAGAATTAACAAAGTAAAAAAGTTCCATACAGCAAAATTTAATAGAAAACAAAATAATTTAATTGCACAAGATGGTTTTCTACATTAAAGAAAATATAAAACTTGAAGATTGAATTTAAATAACTTAAATTATATAAATAGTAAAATGAGTAAATAAATACATATACAGATACACCAAAGAGGATGAAGGAACAAATGCTTTCATATATAGACCCAAATTGTCTCTGTTCTGCTGAAACATCTAGGCAGGTTGATTGAATTCATGCCAAAATGAGCAAGAGTTTTTAGTGGAGAATTTAGTGAGGTCCAGCGTCCAATCCCAGGAGACTCCTCAGGGTTTACTCCTTCTCCTTGTTCAATCCTTTTAGCAAGCTGGCTGAGAAAGACCAGGCTCTCCTGACTTCATCTCTGACCACCATCCAAGCACAGGGGCTGTGTTTCTTCTCTCTCAGGTAGGCAGTGATCCTCTCGAAATATTTCTTCACAGGGTATTCTCCCACATGCTGCTCCAGACAGGACTGCAGGTCATCAAGCTGCTGGTAGAGGATATTACAGAATTTCTCTCGGAGGGTTGTCTTCCATGCAGCAGATGACTCATCTGAGCGGAAGAGATTCCAGCTCTGGTGGATCACGTCATACAGTATCTGGATCAGTTGAGGCTTCGGGATCTGCTGGGCATCCATCTCCTCCAGGGGACATAGAAAGTCCTTTCTTTCCTTCAAACAGAGAAGACGGGAGGATTGCTTCTTTGGTACCAGGTAGTTCAAGAGAGTCTTGTTCATGAAGTTGCCAGTCTGAGGCAGGTCACATCCCAGAGAGCAGGTTGACCAGTAGCTCATCAGCACCAGGATCATCAGGAAGTCACAGGGTCTGGCCATTGTGGATGTTGCAGGTGCTGCTGGTCCTGTGGGCTGTGTGGTTCTGAACCTTCCCCTCTAGGTTCTATGAAGACCATCATTCCTGCAGGACTTATATAGGTGAAAAATTAGTTTTCATTTTCTGAATGCCCGCCCCTTACTTCCGAATTGCCTTTTCACTTTCTTGAGCTCATCCTCTGCTTGTGTCTAGACACTTTTTTCTAAACCATTTTGGTTTTCATCTTTGTTTCCTCTTTCACCGCTGCCCTCAGAAAGCTGTTGCTTTCAGCACTTTTCTGTTTCTCAATGCATTGTCATTAACCGTTACACCACAGAAGATCATTCCTTGTATGAAACTTACACTATTTTATCTATTTTAAAGATAAAGTTTCTCCCCAAATTTTATTTAAAAGTTATTTAAATTGATTTTACATTGTGTTTTATTTATATTATTTAAATAAATACTTATATCATATGTAAGGTGTGATGCGAATTATTTCTAAATGAAAAGTATCAATGTAATGGTACACTTCAAATTGCCTTCATTAACTCTAATATTGATTTCCATAAGATGTTCATTGCATCATTCGTGTTTCTTCGCTATTCTTCCAGTAATTGTCATGCCATCATGAGGCATCCAGGTGCAAAGGCTCGCTGTTCAAGCTTGATGCGCTGAGTCCAGGGTTGAAAGAGAGAAACAAACTCTCCTAAGTCGGACTCCAATGAGCACATTCACACATGGTAAGAGCTTGTGTATATACACACACACACAATGCATGCACACACACAAAACCCTCACACCGTTACATAAAACACACTCACATAAGCACACATTTACCTCCTCACAAATGCACTCACCTACACATTTACAACTTCACACATGTAAACACAAAACTACACACTCAAACACAAACATAAATTCACACACACACTCACACAGTGGTGCACACACACCTGTGGGCACACTCACAGACATGCTCTCTGTCACACACATACACACATCTATTCACAATGCTCACACACACACACACACACACACACGATAATACAGAGGAGTAATAACATCTCTAAACAAAAACTTTCATTTGTCACACTTGAGATCCTTACCTTTATGGATTTATTCCCCCTGAGGCTGGACGTCTTACGTGGTCTTTCTAACATGCTGGGGTCCAGAAGAAGTGGGCTCTAATGACAGTGAAGGAATAGGATTGCAATCGAGGTGAGAGCAAGCAGGCAAAGTTCAAAAGCTTTCTTCTTTCACGTCCTCTATGGATTCCAGCAGAAGGTGTGCCTCAGCATAGAGGTGGGTCTTCCCTTCTCAAAGGATCTGGGTTAAAGGTGAGTGGTCCCACCTCAAAGATCCAGATAAAAGGTGGTGCCTTCCCCTCCAAAGTCTTGCTTAGAAGTGGCGCTTCCCACTTCCACTCGAGAAAAATCCCTCACAGGAATCTTAGTTTTGAGGTGTTTACTTCTTATTACACTTGCTCACACACAAGCATTGTTTATAGGTGTGTGTGTGTGTGTGTGTGTGTGTGAGAGAGAGAGAGAGAGAGAGAGAGAGAGAGAGAGAGAGAGAGAGAAAGAGCATGTATGTAAGTATAGATGTTTGTTCACCAGCGTGTGAGTGTGTGCACATGTGTGTACATATGTGTGGAAATGTATGTGTGTGTTTGAGTGTGGGGGGCATGTACATGTGAGAATTTGTAAACGTGCATGTGAGTGCACTTTCATGGGGGGATGTATACTTGTGGGAGGGGGGAGTTTGTGTGTGTATGTGTGTGTGCTTATGTGAATGTGCATTTTAGTGTGTGATGCAGTGTGTGTCTATATGCAGATATGCTGGAGTGTGTGTGTGTTAGTTGTGGAGTGTGCATGTTTGTGTGTATGTATCTGTGGGAGTGTGTTTGTATATGTGTGTGTGCTTATGTGAATGTGAATGTGCATTTTAGTGTGTGATGCAGTGTGTGTCTATATGCAGATATGCTGGAGTGTGTGTGTGTGTGTTAGGTGTGGAGCATGCATGTTTGTGTGTATGTATCTGTGGGAGTGTGTATGCATATGTGTGTGTTTGAGTGTGTGTGAGCAGCCTCCAGATTGCCACATCATGAATGTGGTGGGCAGAGGACAAACTACAGGACTCAGAACTCTGCTTCAACCATGGGTTCCTGGAGTCAAACTCAGATCATCAAACTAGGACAGCAAACCTTCACATATTGAAACCTCATGATGGCATGGCAATCATTGAAAAATAGCCAATATACAGTGATTAATAAATCAAACATACATATAAATCAGTATTAATGTTAATAATGGCAATATGAAAAAAATAATTTTTTCCTTTCAATCATTGGAAAAACTTAGTGTCCCATTACATTAATATGATAAATTTAGAAACCATGAATTTGCATCATACCTTAAATTATAATTTAAAAGTATGTATTTGATATAAATAACAACAGAAAATTTAATTACAAACTGAATTTCAAATCTTTTTATGACAAGTATTAGAAGAAATTTATCATTGAATATTGTGTGTAAATATCAAATGTTGAGTGAATATGTGAAGTTAATAGTTAATGACAATTTTACTCATGGCAAGAAAACCTCTGATACAGATTTCTTTAGGAGAAAAATGAAAGGGGAAGCAGTAATGAAAATAAAACCGGTTGAGAAAAATGCCCAGCTGAGAACGAATGAAGAAGAGCGAAAAAAGAATTGTGGAGAAGGGGAGGGCATTCAGAAAGTGGAAACTAGTGTTTGCCATACTTAAGACAGATGCACAAATGATGATCTTCAGAGAACCTAGAGGAGAAGGTTCAGGACCAGCAGCATCTGCAACATCCACAATGGCCAGACCCTGGGCTTTCCTGATGGCTCTGGTGGTGATGAGCTACTGGTCAACCTGCTCTCTAGGGTGTAACCTGCCTCAGACTCATCACCTCAGGAACAAGGACATCTTGACAATCCTGAAGCAAATGAGGAGACTCTCCCTTGTCTCCTGCCTGAAGGACAGAAAGGACTTTGCTTTCCCTCTGGAGAATGTGACTGCCCAGAAGATCCAGAAGGCTCAAGCCATCCCTGTCCTGCAGGAGCTGACCCAGCAGGTCCTCATCCTCTTCAGCTCAGAGAACTCATCTGCTGCTTGGGAGACAACCCTCCTAGACACATTCTGCACTGGCCTCCACCAGCAGCTCAAGGACATGCAGGCCTGTCTGATACAGCAGGTGGAGGTGCAGGAACCTCCCCTGAGCCAGGAAGACTCCCTGGTGGCTGTGAGGAAATACTTCCACAGCATCACTGCCTACCTGAGAGAGAAGAAACACAGCCCCTGTGCCTGGGAGGTGGTCAGAGCAGAAGTCTGGAGAGCCCTGTCTTCCTCAGCTGAGTTGCTGGCAAGATTGAGTGAGGAGTAGTGAGTCCTGAGCCAAAGTGGAGAGGACTCTCCTGGACTAGGACCCTGCACTTCACTGGGCAGATTCTGCCATCTTAAAAAATCTCAGGCATTTTGGCAGGAACTGACTCCACCTGCTTAGGTGCTTCAGCAGCAATGAATAATAGTGTGCCTTGCTCTAAGATATTTGTTTTTCGTCCATTCAAATTTATTTATTTATTCATTTATTTATTTATGTGATTTAACTTAGTAATTTCATACAGTTTTATATTTTTTGAGTTAGCCAATACTTTAGTAGCACTTTATTTTCTTTGTTCTATAAATTTTTGTGAAATGAATCTGCTTTGCCTTTTTTATTCTTTACATGTTTCAAAGACATTTATTTCTTCATTTGTTTGGGCATGTCTATATATATAGGTTTTTATTTATTTTACTATTCACATAATATTATTTATTTAAGCTAAATCTGTCAGGTTTATATTGTCTTTACTGTAGGGAATCATCAGATTTAATTAAATTACTGTGTATTCAATTTGAATTTGCTGTATAAAACACTTTAGATTGTTTATTCTCTTTTTTATTTTTCCAATGTTTTCATCTTATATACTTCATTATAAAAATTATACTTTAAAATACCAATATCCTCTCTCAATTTCATGGGTTTGTCTCCTAATCTACTCCTCCTCTTCCTCTCCCTTTTCCTAATTCTCCTTCTTAGTCCTTCTAGTTGTACATGCACACAGGACCTTCTCCTGGAGTTTAGCATAGGTAGCCTCTCTCTGGTGCCCCAACCCTGAGGACAACTAAATCTCTCTCTCAGCAGCCGCCAGTTGCCAAGGTTCCTCAGCTACAAGTGGGATTTCCTGTGTGTTCCAAGCTGGGATGCTGTCTGGCTTGGTCTTGTTCATTCAGTCACAGCCACTCTCAGTTCATCTGTGCAGCTCCCGTGCTGGTCCAAGAGCACTGCTTTGCTGTCGTCATGCACGGCCTCTGGATCTTGCAATCCTTCTGCTCCCTCTTCTGCAATGATGCTCGGAGCCAGGAAGTCAGTCCTTTATTTTCTGCTCCAAGACCACTTGGTTTCTGTGTTCATTGCCATCTGCTGTAGGAGGCTCCTGTGGTAGGGGGTAGTAATCCCACAGTAACACTCTCTTAGACATGTAGCTCTAATCTGAAATCAGGTATGGTGACATTACCAATACAGCACTGCCTTTATTCTTTGGTATCATCATGGTTCCATGTGCTTCAAAAATGATATTTCTCGGAGAAACATAATTTAAAATCTGATTTGCATTGTGTGGTGGTTTGAATAGGAATGGCCCCCATAGACTCATGTCTTTGAATGCTTGGTCCACTGCATCTTTGTTGTAGTATGTGTGGCCTTGCTGTAGGAAGTGTGTCACTGTGGATACTGGCTTTGTGGTATTACACACCCAAGCTTGGCCTAGTGTGGCAGTCCCCTTCTGCTACCTGTGGATCAAGATTCTCAGCTCCTCCAGTAACATGTCTGCCTGCCCGCTGTCATGTTTTTCACCGTTTTGATAACGGACTACACCGTGAAACTGTAAGCTACCACAATGAAATGCTTTTCTTTACAAGATCTGATGTGGTCCCGGCGTCTCTACACAGA